ACCGGCGATCTATTGAAAGGATCATGGTTTAAAGGAGTGATAGGACTCAGCATAAACGTTAGGGTTTGATTTGGGAGTTAGAGGAGGGAGGGATGCTGATGGCTGAGCTCCATTGTTGGAGCTTGTGCTGCTTGCCGAACTGCTGTTGGGCGAGGTTGAAGGAGACGATGGCTTCTGAGAGAGAAACTGAGAGAGGGAGAGAGGGAGAAAGGGTATTATAGTTTTGACATGTTTAAAAACTCTTGGGTTTTGTGTTTTAGGGGCCCAGGGAATTATGTGTTTACTTTTGGATTTTTTTAGGAGCGTTGAAAAAGTATTGGGAAGAGGTGGAACACTTCTAAGGAAATTAGGGGCTGGAAGCAATTTCCCAAAAAAAACCCAACAAGAAGGATATAACTGTACGTTGACTAAATCTACTCACCTCTCCTTTCTATCCACTCAATCATACAAAGTAGAAAGAAATAGTAATGTGCTAATTTCTTCACCCCTTCTCCCCTTCAACTAAACAAGAAGTCTATGAGAGAGTCCCTTACTTTTACCGCATTGCACTCTGCTCCCCATTCCCTCTCCTTCTCAAACCTTTTAGCAAATCAAAGCTTAAAGTCTTTTGTCCATCTTGCCAATCTCAAATTAAATAAAAGATTTATTCTGGAAACCTCCCAACTATATGGGGTGCCTCAAAGAACCCTCGTTAACTATTTTAATTTTAGTAAACCTCTATCAAGTTTGTAAGTATTGTAGATAACTCAATTCTACTTTAAAAAAATTGAAGTAGACCCCCTCAATTTTTCTTACTTAATTAATGCCCTAATTAAACCCATTAAGTTTAATGTTTTTATGTGATAAGCATGTACCTTAGAAAGACTAAGATAATCCTCAACCCGAAAAAATCTGGATTTTCACATGATGAGAAAATGAGAGGAGAGAGAGAAAGAGTGGAGACATAGGGAAAAACACTGTAATGGCTTGAGATTTTTTAAACTAATTGGGATGTTTGTTTCATTGAAACAGGGTTTTCCCAAAAGGGTGTTCAGATCATTTCACATTTTTAATTGTGGTTTTCTGAGGAAAGTATAAGGATCGGGGGTTTTGTGAAACACCTCGTAATTCAGGGGGTTAAGTCAAGTTTTCGAAGTTGAGAAATGTTTATCTACAATACCTTCAAACTTGAGAGGAGTTTAAGAGCTAAATCAGTTAAAGAGAGTTATCATTAGTTGACATGGTTTCCTAAAATTAACCCTTGATAAAGGCTAAATAGCCTTTATGTATTTGTTACGCTACTTTAGCATTTTTATATGCCCTAAGCTACAAATCATGGCAATTCTATATCCCACCTTACCCCTCATCTGAATTTGACATATCATGTGAAAAATTATCCTAATCATACTCCCTTTAAAAGCACGAGTTCATGAAAATCTTTCAATGGTCAATATTACCCTTCACTATTTTGAATATTTCATTTATGTCTTAATCTATCCTAATCATAATTACATCCTATCATAATTTTACGTGAATTATCTATAGCTTAACAATTTAAAAAGTAATATTAATAAAATATATAAAACATCTTTATGATATTAGTTTGTTAAGATAAAGAAATTATACGTAGCTCACATACTATAATACATGAAGTATTGCAAAAAACCCCTAAAAAGTTTTAAATTTACACAAAATATCTTGAAAAGTTAAAAATTATAAAAACCATCGCGATGTCTCAAAACTTAGAATAACAAACATGAAATTAAGAAATTAACAGCAGTTTACAAAGAATTTAAAATTTGCAGTTAGCACCTCAATGTCTCAAAATTTATAGAAACACTCTCAAAAGTTTACAAACAAGCACCCTGAAATTCTAAAATTTTATAACTTGTAAACAACATAGATGAATTTAAGGGATTACCATGATGCACCCAAAAATTTCTAACATTTTAAAACTTAAAACAACAAACATAAAATTAAAAAATTAATAGCAGCCTCTGAAGAATTTAAAATTTTCAATTAACACCCTCAATATCTCAAAAAGAAACAACCTCAAAAGTTTAAATTATAAAAACTCACCCTAAAATTCTAAAATTTAAAAATTTACAAATAATAAAATATGAATTCAAGATATTACCCTTAGACACCTAAAATTTTAAAATTTATTGAAATTAACCTTAAAGTTACAAAAATTGTAAAAAAAACTCCTTCAAAATTTAAAAATCATAAAAAACTCTAAATTTTCAAAAATTTTAACAAGTACACATCAAATCTGGAAACTATTAGTAGACCGCTAAAAATTTAAAATTTTCCAAAATTAATCTATAGTTTTAATAGTTCAAAAAAGCACCCTCAAAATTTTAAAGTTGCAAGAAATATCCTGATATTTTTAAAAATTACCACCGACACATGAAACATAGAAGTTACAACTACCAAACTTAAAAGAATTAAAAAAAAAACTATTCCAAAGTTTTAAAAACTACAAGTCACACTCTCAAAGTTCAAAACCATAGAAAGGGCTAAAATTTTAAAACATGGCAAAAAAAGTATCATTGTTGGTATTTTTTCATTAAGATGTGTGTGTGTGTGTGAGTGAGTGAGTGAGTGAGTGTGTGTGTGTGTGTGAGAGAGAGAGAGAGAGAGAGAGAGAGAGAGAGAGAGAGAGAGAGAGAGAGAGTGAGAGTGTGTGTGTGGGTGTGTGTGTGTGAGTGTGTAATTTCCAATTTAGGGTTTACTATCGATCCCTTTTCAGCATCTAAAAATAGTATAACTTGATACCGGTAAACAAAAGCAATAATAATTGATTAAAACATTCGGCTAAGGAATAAAAATTTAAAAAATATTATAGCTTAAAATTATCACCACTATATAAATTAAAGTAACTGCATATAATTTTACTAATAGGTTGGAGCAGGAAAAATACATTAGTAAATTAATTGATAAATATTTAAATCCACAAAAATGATAAAATATTATAATATAATACCTTAGCATTAATTAATTATAATTTAGAAACATTAATTTCTAATGTTATATAATATTTATAAGGTAAAAGAATACAATGAATTACATATAGAGAAACTATCAGAATGTTCAGAAATACTCTTCAAAAGAATTAAGCTATTTCCATTGCAAATGAGAGAGTAACGAAAATAAATTTAAAATTTAAAAGATGTCCAAAAATCACTTGAATTGGCATTAACATAAAGCATATCTATTAAAGAAGCACCGACTGAGTTGCGTTAAAAAATAATTTAACAACTTTATCCCGATCAAAAAAGAATTCTCCATGGAAGATATAAAAAAATTAGTAAGTATTCACAAATTTCATACTTTGTCTTCCAAATACTAAAGAAATTAAATATTAATATTATAATTTATGGCAAATTGGTAATAAAAAATACAAGTATTTAGTTTAGATCTTTGTGAAAAATAACAGGGATAGAACAAATGTAATATTATTGATATAACATAAACTCGTATTGGATGCACATCAGAAGAATTCATTGTAGGAAAAAAAAGAGGTAGCTTCTAATCTTATTTAAGTACTAAATTAGGATCACAAAGAATTTCATATATATATATATATATATATATATAGTAGAACTTATGTCAACTTAAGTGGACACCAAGTCTTTGTCCACCAAAGTTTCTATCCACTCATTTATATATATATATAAAGTCCTTTCATATCATGCAAGGATCCCTAGGCAATATGAGTGGATAGAAACTTTGGTGGACCATCCACTTAAGTTGACATAAGTTTTTTTCTTCTCTCTCTCTCTCGCTATATATATATATATATAATTAACATTTATTCTTATTAAAAAATCAAAGTCTATATTTTAAGTAGTTTGTGTTGAACATCGAAAATACATTTGACTTATTTGAAAAGTTAAATAAGTAGATAAAAGATTAATGAGCCCACGAAAGATAACAACATAAAAAAATACAATTCTAGCTTGATGTCACAATCGATGTAGATGATGAAGCCACTACTCTAGAATTGCCCGGGAAAAAGAAAAATGTGAAGAATGATTGATCTTAGCTCAATAAAAAATAAAACAGAAGGAATAAAAGACAATTTTTTCTTAAATATATTATAGAATAGTTTAATTATTTTGAGTGAAATTAGGAATCTTTATAATGGAGTTTCATGAACTTTTTTTAGTATTTTTATATGCTTATGTGGATACTTTTATCATATAAAAGTATACTAGAGTTAGTATTAATCTTTAATTGGTAATTTTTTTATGAAGTCTATCAATGATTAGGAACAAACTTCATATTTCTTTTATATCATTTTAGCATACTTTAATCAATCATTTTGCTTTATTGGTATTAAAAATTCACCTAATACTATTTTAATATTTTTACTTTTGCAACACTATATTTTCTCAAGTAAAGCTTGGTTTCATATTGGTTAAAATAATATGAAAATTTAAATTAGCTTCAAATTATATTTGTTTACTATCAATTCAAATATCAAAATAAAAATTTAAATTGGGTGTAGCACATTTAAACAAACATAATAAAAATCACGATATAAAAGTTTAGAGACAAAAGTGAGCACAAACTATTAAAGTGGAACTAATGAAAAAATTTTAGTAAAAAAATAAGCTAAAAATACTTAATCAAGATATTTAACCACGTGCATTGCACGTGTATAAAATCTAGTAGAAGAAAGCGCCTCACTGTTTAATAAAGAGAAAGAATTAAATGCTTTAATCAATAAGGATAAAAGACATTTGTATTCGACATGTGACCACACATGGATCTTACCAGGGAATATTCCAACACTAGGAAAACTGAAGGTAGCAACATTCAAAAATTAACCATGTTAACATATAATTGCCACAATTCGTGACTTAGGACATGAGCATAACCATCAAAGGTTTATACGTGCTACTTGGCCTTGAACGAGCCCCACATACAGACATACTTATTGATCTCAGCCGTACGCTTTCCTAGATTCTTTCCACGTCATCTGAAATCCCCGCAAATCTCAAAATCCCCAAACTCGGCTTCCCTTGTTCGGTGCTCGGGACAAGCGAATCGCGAGAGCCTCTCCTCTCGTCTTCTTTTTTCCCCCAAAAGCGAGACCAAGCCAGTCCTCTCTCGCGTTCGAAGCCCAAAACGCTGCCCCTCGGGACTCCGCTTCTCTCATGATCTTCAGATCTCTTTAGCTTTCTGATCTTCTTCATGAGATCCCATTTCGTTAACCAGATCTAGACGTAAGCCACCGCGATCCTCTCCTTCGATTTTGAGCGTAGACTCCATCTAATTAGATCGAGAAACGTCGAATCGATCGGTTTCTAGAACCCTAGGGGTCTGTTTTGAGCTCAATTCGGCCATCTGATGCGAGATTCTCGCGATTGATGCAGGCAGCGGGAACGATGAGCAAAGGGATCTTCGACGGGCTTCCCCTCCCTGCAGATAAAGAGGTACGCCGCTGTTCTTGATCGCTGCAGCTCGTTTGAAAATTTTAGCTTAATTAGGCATTGAATGAAGTGCATCGGACTAATTTTTTGAATAGTAGCGGAAATAACGCGCTTGGTAATGATGGTTTTAGAAGCACTCTACATGGAGAAGCAGTGATTTTGATTACAATTTTAGAGAGAAATATCAAATTCGTATCGGGCTTTTACGCCTCGTTTGGTACGCGCGAATGAGGAGGAATGGAATGCAATTCCCACTTCCCATTCCCTCATACCAAACACACCAATATTTTAGATGTTGGAATGACCATTCCCTAGGAATGATCATTCCCACTATTTGTGGGAATGAGCATTCCAAGTGAGAAGATAAGGAATGGTCATTCCCATTCAAGTGAGAATCAAAAACTAGTTAGGTATTTTTCAATTATATCCATATTAATAATAAAGAATGTTTGGGTGAGGCCTATGCAAGTGGGCAATTTTAGATTGACAATTTAGGCTAGTATATCATTTTGCTATTTCGAAACTTATTATTTTAGTTGGTATTGTTTTATGGATTTTTGCTATTATGAATTGAGTGATTTTGATACTTTATCAAATAAGTTAATTTATATATCTAGAACTGTGGATTGTGGATATCATTCTTTTTTTTTGGACCTATGAAAGATACGATAATCTTTTTTTTTTCTTTAATTTTTAAGACTAAGAAATAGCGAGTATTGTTTAAAAAATATAAACGAAACATATACCTGATGGATAACACGAGCATTAGTATAACACATACCTAGATTAATATAACATATGCGTATATAAAATTATTTAGTTATTATCATTAATGTTTATTTTTTATCTTATTAAAAATCTATGTTATTGTAAGGGCATTATTAGAAAATGAGATTTCATTCTCACTTGTGTACTAATGATACCAAACATGGGAATGGGAATGAGATTTTCATTCTAGCTTCATTCTACGAATGCACCCAAACAAGAGAATGAGAATGACCATTCCATTCCCACATGCAATCCATTCCATTCCTTCTTCCATTCCATTCCCAAGTCTGTCCATTCCCGCGTACCAAACGAGGCGTTAGCGTAATGCGCTCGGTAATGATGGTTTTGCATTTTTAACGCAGTACCTGAGGGAAGGGCTCTCGAGAATAGATGAAAGCTGGGCAGCTGCGCGGTTCGATTCTTTGCCTCATGTGGTCCATATTTTGACATCGAAAGATCGCGAAGGTGAAGTTCACTTCTTGAGGGAACAGAGTGATCTTGTTGAGGATGTGGTTGACGAAGTCGTGCATGCCTATCATCATGGGTTCAATAAAGCAATCCAAAACTATTCCCAAGTAAGTTTCACTTTTTTTGGATACATTTATATGTTACATTATGTTTTTAAATTTGAATGAATCTGCTCATTGTTGATGTCTAAAGGGCAAGCTATCAGATTAAACCATGGGTGCTTTCTTTGTTCGTCTCTTTCCAGATACTACGGTTGTTTAGTGAATCAGCTGAAAGTATTGCTGTTCTCAAGGTTGACATGGCAGAGGCGAAGAAACTTCTAGGTTCTCGCAATAAGCAATTGAGTCAACTGTGGTATCGATCGCTCACGCTGCGACACGTCATATCTTTACTGGATCAAATTGAAAGTGTAGCCAAGGTCTGTTATGCACGAGGAGTTACTTGATTCTGCCTACTAATGAGTTCATTTGCTGACTAATATCTTCATGCATCAAAGACCTTTTGATAATTATTCACATGTAAAATATGATATTAATAGCATTCAAATAGTTTTCTCATATCTTTGGTGATATCTGTTTTTTTGGCCATTCTCTTGATAGGGATTTAGCATGCAGTCATATTTTCGTTTTTCAGGGTTTTCTTCAGAAAACACTGTTTTCATTTCAACAAGATATGTAATATCACCTTGCGTAGGTATGGATGCTGAGTGGGTCTTTTGATAATCCAAGCGATTTGTTGGGAAAGAGATTTTGCTTTTGCCTTTAGAAGCCCGGGATATGTTCTTCTTTCATTTTTTTCTTTTCCTTTTCCTTTTCCTTTTTGTTTTTATTTTTCAACTTCTCTTGATCTTCGGCAAGTAAATAAATACATAATGATCTTCTTAGTTTTGACCTTTTTGATTGATCTCAAGACTTTTATGCGACTAAAGTTAAACTGGTGCACTACTGAACAGTGGTCAATCTCATATATACTGTAAGTGAAGATGAAATAAAATATACACCTCATCTGGGACATCCAAGGACTAACAGAAGGTAAACAGTAGCTTCAGAAGCCCTGAAGATCATCAAAGAGTAGTGTAGTGATAGCAGGCAAGAGCATAAAATGGGCTCAAATCCTTTTCCCACAAGAAAAAGGTTTAACAAGTTTAACTGTTTCTCACAAGGTTGTTGGCGCACACCGCCCGCAACCGGACACGGATCATTGCGCGCCAACCAGCGATCTATGCGAAAGCGTAGCCTACGAAAGCATCACCGAACACTTAAGTTGCATGAAAATGGGTATGGGTACAGGTGCGGGTACAGTTACAGGTACGGGACATGACAAATTTGTGAAATATAGGGTATGAGGACACGACTATATTTATATATTAAGATTAATAATGTACATAAGATCATTGTTATTTTTTGAATTATGTGCTATTTAAATTTAAGTTCCTATCATATTTTTAAGTTTCTTTTATTATGTTTATTGTTATAAATTGGAAAATGTTTGTTTTTAAATAGACACTCAAACCACTCTTTTAATCATAGTTTTTAACTTGCATGTGATCTTAAACAACCGGACCCATATCTGACGAGTTTCAAGAAATGGACATGAAGTGTAGGATATATGTCCAAGAAGTGTACAAGTATTTTAAATCAAAACATATACCATATAATCGAGTAAACATCTGGGTAAATGTATGCATATATCCAAGAAGTGTCCATGAAGTTTGAGTATAGGTAAGTGTCGGTTATGGGTACGGCTTCATGATAGAACTACCCAGGTAACATAGCCAAACACCTTACTTAGACCTCCTTGTTATTTGTAGACCAATCGTTCACCGAGCGATGTGGAAACTCTAAGAAAACATGTTCGAACTGAAGAGAATAGCAATATATCGTAGAAAAAATATATCAAGAGAAAGACACGAGATTTACGTGGTTCGGCAATCGCCTATGTTCACATGGAGAGAATTGAGTCTTTTTTCAGTCCACAGATTACAAATATGTTCTTGTGATCTAGATAGATCACACGAGAAAATAGTCTCTCAGTCTCACCAAAAGACCTCTGACAAACCTTATATTTCTCCCCTTAGTTCTCCTCTATCTTACAATATGGAAATGCTTGGCTTGATTTTTCTAACATTAGACCTGAAAGCAATGTTTTAAACGTCGGATGTCGGGACTCGGGTTCATGTCGGTCGGTCAAAATTCATGTCGGATAGCGGGAATCGGGGATATATCGGGGGACATAAAAAAAAATATTGGATTGCCATATCGGATAGGTTGATATAATATCATAAATGGAATCTTCACATACTTGATAATTATATTGTCTAAACATATGAAAAAGTACATAACTTATTGATGTTAGAATCACTAACCAAAAGTACATAAATTATTATACAACATTTGAAACAATTATGTAAATAACAGTTTGAAACAAAAGCTATATGTACAACGTTCGCTGAAAATTAAACAAAAAAATGACAGTTTAACTAGTTAGCATGCTTGCAGTTTAGTTGGCTGAAAATTAAATCACAAAAAATAACAGTTTAACCCTTGACTGCTTAAAATATTTGATTACTTAAAATTGAGATCATCGACTGCATTGAAGTTCTATTTCCATTTGATCGGATCTATTGATAAAAATCTCCTATAAATTGAGATCATCTCTGAATGAATACAATTCACCAAAAATCTTTCCCTGTACTTTTGAGTCTTTAAACTCCAATTTCAGAAAAATCCTCAAATTGACATATATACACATCTATTGATAATCATATTTGCAATAATAGAAAATGATCGGCAGTAAAAAAACCTAAAGGAAAAATAGATAATCAGTGAAAAAAACAGTAGATAATGATCGGCGGCAAAAAGAACAACAATAGATAATCTCAGTGCAAAAAAAAAGGGAAACCAAATTATTTTCAAAAAAAAGAAGAAAACAAGAAAAAAACTAAAAAAAAACCTGAGTTTGAGGAGTCGATCAGCGGCGGATCTGGAGGCGAAGGAGTTGGTGGCGGTCGGCGTCGTCGGCGTCGTCTGTCGGCGGCTAACTTGGGTAAAAAAAACCCTAAAGAAAAGTTAAATGCGCTTATTGGGTCGGGTCGGGTTTTTCAAACTTGACCCAATAAGCTTAAAACCGCTTTTTCTGAAATTTGGCCGATTTTTCTTGGCCGCAATGGTGCCCGACATACCCGATTTTTTCCGACATGTCCCCGACATGACCTCAGAAATGCAATACGCATTAAAATCAAGGATTTCGTGACGGCTAGGGTATCAAACCGTCATATCGGCCGCCATGTTTGACATGGCGGCCGATATTTAAAACATTGCCTGGAAGATCTCTTTTGTAGGCCCTAAACCGGATACAAAACCCAATATGAGTCCTAACCCGAATAGAATTACAAAACTGGTAAAATAGGAAACATCAGCCTGAATCGTTCTGACAGGCCGGTACCGCTGCTCATCATCGCCGTTTCGCCTCATTTCATTTCCGACTCTTCCGTTGTCTTCTAGGGCTAAAAACAAGGCTATTTCCCAACAAAAGGCTACTAGGGCTAGGTGCAGAACAGTCTCTCAGTTATGTTGTTGAAGGTGCAACCTAGAAATTACCATTTATATAGTTGAGACAAAGAGGTCAATTGAAGTCTATGTTATGTGCAACCATGTCACTGTAAGTCAGTCTCTTTTTTTATTGGCAGCGTCCATTTATGACGTTTAAGGCATAACTGAGGTTGTGGCCTGTGCCTAGACAGTTGCCTAGACAAGTGCCCAAGCCCCTTCCTGAATGCTGATTGAAGTCACACTGCAATCTGGTTAATATTGAGTGACTCCTAACCTCTTAAAATTAATTTTCTCAGAGAAACTAGTTTCAGGCTTTCAGCTTCAGTGGTCTTGTAGAGCTAGATAACAATTTTTATAAAGATAAATCCCCACATATTTTCTGATTTCTAAGAATTATCAGGAATTTTTGTAGGACTATGGAATAAAGGAAAATGAGCTCTAATCCTACAGTTTTCTTTAACTGCTAATTCCTTTGGAAGATGTCTTCAAAAAATGTGTGGCAAGTTACTCAATGTTGCTAGAAGATACATTGCTCTAATGCTGGATACCTCATCAAGTTATCCTTTACAGGTGCAAAAAACACAATAGTCATTAGTTGGAGTGACAGCTCAATAAATGCTATTACAAATTTGTAATAATCATTAACTCGTCAATAATAGTTACGTAGATCTATATATTGAACACCCAATATATTTTTCTACAAATCATTCACTTCGGGTATTCTCTTGGAAACAGCTTCCATTGAAAGGCAATCGTAGTTTCCTAAAGAGTTAGACCAGTTAAGATGTTTTAATTTTACATACTCATCTAACCTTCATTTCAGGTTCCTGCTCGCATTGAGAAGCTGATAGAAGATGGGCAGCTATATGCTGCTGTTCAGTTGCATGCCCAATCAACGCTGGTGCTTGAGAGGGAAGGCCTTCAAGTGGTTTGTTTTTTCTTCCCGCTACACATCCTAATTTTGTGGTTTCACAGTGTTATTATGTTATTAGATTTGTTTAAGATCTTTTAGATTTAGATTGTTGAACACATACCATCGCGCCTTCTGGAACCTTTTCTAGTCTAGAAGTTATTTAAGACGGTTGTTCTTGGTTAGTTTGTTTTACTAAACTGTATGGTCATGGTATAGATTTTCCTACTTGCCGACTCGCGAATCAGATGTTATATGAAGTCCATCTTGCCATAGCTCTCTTGGCCATGTATTAGATGTCAATGTCCTAATGATCCCATGGTGAAAGTCTGTCCTGATAGATTTTTTAACTTTTGAATGTTCAAATGGCCATCATTGCTTAAATTTAAACCACTTCCCACTAGATGCATGCTTTTGGCTGAGTTTATTACAAATTAAGACACAGACAAACCCCTGTATATTTACACATTTGTATATACTTGTATATGTATATATTTATGTATACACACATGTGCCTATATATGTACACACAAACACGTGTGCGCGCGCTTGCATGCGCATGCGTGTGTGTCCTGGTGACTCAATTTTTATTTGTAGTTTTACATTTCTTTTATTCGTTGAGAATGCTTTTGCATCTCTGCCAAGTTGCTAACTGATACATGGTTTTTTTTATCAGTAGTAAGTAATGATTTACTTTAGAACACTTTTTGTGGCTTCCCTTTCTCTTATTTCAGAGATAATGCTTATTTTTATCCACATGCTGCTTTCCCTAGGTTGGTGCTCTTCAAGATGTTCGATCAGAACTAACAAAGTTACGCGGTGTGTTATTCTATAGAGTTCTTGAAGATCTTCACAGCCATCTTTACAACAAGGGAGTTTACAGGTACTGTTTTCCTGTTCTTTTTACCATGTTTACTGATGGTAGACTTCCCTAAGTACATAGCATGAAGTCTGGTTAACTGTTTGCTAATCATCACCCATGTACAGAAAGTTTCGCCTATTGGTTCCACAGATCAGTTTAGCTTTCCGTTTTATGCTACTGAGCAATGGTAAAAATGCTAAAGTCACTCTTCTCATGTTCGATTCTCTAAAAAATGTTTAGAACTGAGATGCTGCTATCTGAGGTAGTGGAAAAATATTTCATGAAAAGAGTTTCTACGGTATAACTTGGGCTGCTTTGGTGATTGGAATAATTTCCTTTTTCTCCTTCATCATTCAAACCACAGAAATGGAAGGAGAAATTTTACATGATGGTAACACCTCATGATTAATGCAAAGTCTACATTTTTTCTACCATGAAGATGCTTTTTGTTATCCTTTTTATCGCTTGCGAGTTGCAACCCAATGGACCCAAATTCCAATACCAAATTGTTTGGAAAAGTTCATTTACAACATTTTGTTATTCACAAACCAACCATCTGTGAATAAAATCCTTTCATGATGTTTAATCAGTCATGACCCTATGGAACCAAGTACATCTTCTATTTGATGGCCGCAAGTTTAGGATTTATCATGAAATTCTGTATTGCTGAACTGATTATTTTCTGCAGTTCAGCTAGCTTGTCACCAGAAAGAGATGATGAAGTACCAACTTCCACTAGCAGTGCATTTTCATTAAGCAGTTCACAGCCTCTTTCTAGGAGAACCAGATCAATTAAAGGTGATAATCGGTTTGGCAGTTCAACATTTGGGGAAGGACCTTTTATGCCAGGTTCTATTGATGGAGGGTAGGATTCAAAACTCAAAGGTGACATTTATTATTGTTATTGGTATGTGCATATAATAACTTCCCACATCACATTCTTGCAATTGCTAACCATCAACCAAGTTAGGAACCTAGTCAATGCAAAGCAAGAGGGGACTGCAAATCCTCTTTTTATGTTTACATTTCATCTGGAAAAGTTACAAGTTTCAACACATATCAATCCCTCGCTCAAATCAGAAAGGGGAGATGTTTCTGTAAGAAAATAGAAGTGCAATTTTTCTCTAAAGGACACAAATAACTTGGAATTTAGTTGGTCAAAACGCCAATTTTTAAAAGTAATTCTTTTCACTTATACTGATCGTGAAATTTAATGTTCTTTATTAGACGTATCAAGACAAGTGCATCTGCCATACTGTAGAGATTTTCATTGTTCTTGGAACATCTACATCAGAGATACATACTAGCTGGTTGTCTATGTTAAACTTGTTGCGTGTTAAATATTTTAAAATTTGAAATTCTCTTTCCAGCTTAGTTTGAACTTATCAGGAGACCAGAGATCATATGCTTACATTACTGCATGTTTAGTTGTGTAGCATTGTAATAATTGCTCTTAAACTATATGTGCGCGCGTGCGTGCATACTTTTCATATTTGTTTTAAATGAAATTGCTTATAAGTTGCCTTTTTCAGTTCATTATATATGTATATATGTATCATGTATGTATCTGCTTTTCATATTTGTTTTAACTTGAATTGCTTGTGAGTTGACTTTTCAGTTCTTCATTTGATGGTCATGATGATGAGAGTAGTCTGGAAATTGATGCGGGTACAGCTGATCCATCAGCAAGGACTCATGCTGGTGATGGACATATAAAGGATGTTAGAAGTGCTGCACGCCAGATTCCAATGTGGCTTTCACGTGCTACTCCAGATGAGTTTATTGTAAGACTATATACTAGCACAAAGCACTGCAACATAGAGTAGTCATCGTTTTTGAACTAAAACTGAAATTTTAATTGTTCTTTCATTGTAGGAATCAATGAAAAAGAGTAATGCACCCCTCAATGTGAAATATTTGCAGACATTGGTTGAATGCCTTTGCATGCTTGGTAAAATTGCTGCTGCTGGTGCTATGATAGGGTAGGAGTTGATGCTTGTGTATAACAAATAAGTTCTCTACAGTGGGTCGAGTTCTCTACTGATTTTTTTCATTTTTATGGAGTTCCCTACATTTTTGAATACTACGTACTGTATCCATCTTCTAAATGGAGGTAAACCACTTATTGGAGGTTTCTGTCCCCACTTGCTTATCCATCTGTGTTCCCTGTACTCCATGCCACTCCCTTCCTCTCATTCCACACTGTTGGGATAGTGAGTACTGAGTAGGCAAATTGAGTAAACATAGATTATCTTTCTGAATGAAAATGCATAATCAGTATGATCACATTATTCAACACAAAAATCCGTTATCTTACTTCGTCTCATGTACCCAGAAATAAAATGTTTCTTCTTGATTTGTTTTTTCTATTTGTTTTGACCACTTTTGTGTGTGCCTGCCTATCTTGCCTGCCTCGTCTTCATCCATGCCTTCAATAGCGTCAAAGAATGTGGTGTATATAGATGATTATTTATTCACTGTGAGAGAGAGAAATTTCGAGGTTTTCTAGTTGTAAATAGAGAGAAGCAAACAGGATTTTGGAGGATTTATTCTTGCTTGAACAAGCTTAAATTTCATTCTAGGAATAGGTGTTCACTTTATTACCTGCTGGCCTTAAAGTTTTTTTGGTGAGATCCTCATTTTCTTTTAGCTGCCTTGACTATAAATTAACACCATCCGATAGTAGTCAGGCTGGCAACAGCCTTTCTTTCTTATAGTTGTTACTTGCCTTAGCCAGTAAAGGGCACCAACTTATAGAGGTTAGTCCTCATAATCCCATAGGAAGATATCAAGTTGAGCTGTCATAGAATAATTCTTTGTCAAACTTTTTCCGGCTTTGTATCATGTGCCATGGCCAAGTCACCATTTTGATGGGAAGTAGACTTGTACATAATGATAATGTAAACTGTAGAGTCCATTTCGAACTTCTTGTTGACAGTGGAGGTTGAATTGTTTCCACATTGGTTTGAAAATGGCATGTACAAATATACTAGAGAATTATCGCTACCGGAAACATGAGATAAACTGTTCACAGAAGAATCAAAACAAGGTACCCTGAATCAGTATTGCGGGTAGCTCTTGGGTATCATACATCGTTCCCAATCTTAAATAATGTATACAGTCTTTCTTCTTGGGAAGGATTTCAAAGAATTTTTTACCATAGAGTTGCCCACTTGGGAACATAGGCCATGGGTGCAGGTCTGGCTAGTGGCGCCCGGAAGCGCACAACACTTTCTAAAACATTGTTTGGCTGTCTATGTATCTAGTTGATCCTTTGGTTTAAAACTTGGATACTTGTTTTAAGATTTATAGATAGTTTATTTGATGTAGATCAATTTTAACCGAGTGAATCTATCATTTGAGCGACTTAGTATTAAATTTTAATGAGAAGGATTTGGTTCCGATCCTTCCGGAAAAGACCACGTCTATATCTAAGTGACAAACTTTTTACAGTTTTGCCATGGGTTAAAGAGGTTTTTTTTTGAAGTTTGCATATACCCACGTCCATCTTATAGAGCTTATGCTAAAGCAAATATCGTTCTTGTTGAGTCTAATTATTGAAGTCAAATATTTCATATGCATTTGGTCCGAGTCTTCAAACCAAGCCTAGACTCTTAACTGATACTTCTTTCGAAGGACATCATTATCATCATCATTATCCAGATCTTTAGTGTCCAAATGTTTTTTTATTCTATAGAGCCGTTCTTCATGGTATACACTAATTTCTTTCAGTGATTTCATTTTTTTCCTGAAACAGCCAACGATTACGGCCTACTGTCCATGATATTATCATTTCTAAGATAAAAGCGCATGCAGCATGGAGTTCATCAAGGTCGTCTACAGATCATGCAACAAGGTCATCCACTTCCAATTTACTTGATGCAAAAGGATTGCTGCAAAATTTCCAGATTCTTAGACAAAAAGGTAAACATGGGTCATCTTCTGTGGGAGTTCAGTTGACTGTTAGCCCGGTCCCTCCAGCTTTGACACCCATGGGAACAGCACAATCAGCAGCTAGTGAACTTCTTAGCTCAGCATTAGATTTTGTCATTCGTATACTCGGTAAGGCACCTGGGTATTGGCTTATGTCTTGCTCCATTGGATTTGATAACCAAAATACCGTTGTGAGCTTAATCTTGCATTTTCTGTGATCAGAAAATCATATTCTTGTTGGGGAGCTTCTGGAGTCAAAATCATCTCAACAAGGAGACATACTAAACACGCCGAAGTCCATGAATGGGGACATAAACTGGAACCCAGACATTGATTCTTCTCAGGCTACTGGAGGCTTTAGTATAGGCTCTTCATTGACAGTCATACAGGTGCCTTCTAATCGCAGTTTCTCTTGAGGATCTATTTTGTCTTAAAGATAAATGTTTAATTTTGGGAAAGTCAGCTTGTGAAGCTTTTTTTTTTTGCTTTTCTGTTGATGTTTATTTTATCTCGTGTGGACAAAGAGTGAATGCCAACAGCTCATCTGTGAAATTCTACGAGCGACTCCAGAAGCTGCAACTGCTGATGCAGCGGTCCAAACAGCTAGGCTTGCAAACAAAGGTCCTGTTAAGGAAAAGAGGCAAGTTATAGCGCATTAATGCATATATAGAACAAAATATCATACACATGCACATCATCACATTTCATCTGTTCCTTGCAATCTTTCTTACGCCTCAAGAAAATTTCCTTTCTCCAAGAAATTCATGTGAGCTGCTTGTTGCTTGTGTAGCTAAAAATTGCATGTTTAATAAGGAAGATATCACTGTCCTATTGGGCTTCTGCAAGTCCATAGTGAATTTGCAGCAACCCACAAAGAGTCGGTGTCGTGTTGATCTGCTTGTCCAAAAAAATGGTGATTATTTATGGGCTGCTTGTTATTTCAGTCTGTTTCCTTGTTTACCTCTCATCCCTACATTGTTTTAAGTTGTTATCATTACAAATCTAGCATGGATCTTTTGGTCCCTGAGCTAATCATTGAAATCTGCGTAAATTTCAGAGCCAATACATAGATAGTAAGCTGCTTCGTGTTGCTGACAACTTATTCACAATAATTATTGCATGTAAATGATATCCATTTGTTCATGATACTTTGTTAGCACAATATCTGTTTACATTATTTTTCCAGAATAGCCCGTTTAAATTGAAATTGTGATGATATGTTGACAGGGATGGATCAGAAGGCCTGTCTTTTGCTTTTCGCTCTACAGATGCAACAGCGTCTATGTCCAACCAAGGTAAACATCTAATTTTCTACTGTTAAGTGATTGTTATGTTACCTTATAAATGGATAATTATCTGTGCTGCTGTACAGTGAGAATTGAGAGACAATCTTGTGTTAAATTTTACTTTAAATATCCAATTGAATCATTGTGCGGCCGCTATATGAAAAATTTCTTAAATTTTTAAATGAAATCTTTCAATGTATCAAAATATGCTTTTACTAATGTTGATCTTCTAGGCCATTATAGATAGCAGTAAATGTTAATTATTACTAAACACGTCAACTTCTGGTTCTTGAATGATACCAAGTTTTTGATCGTGTAGTTAGTGATTAGATTCCCATTTTCTGATTCTTGGTGGCTTTATGTGCTTTTGGTTTTCCTGAGTTGCTGGTTTATTCTGCAAGTAGAGCTGGTGACAAGCTTGTCTTGGTCCAAATTTATCTACACTTCGAGCAGGTGGCCTATATTCATTATTCAGATGAGCTTAAACATTGCATCTTATCTGTTGGTCTCGAAGAACCAAGTCTAATACCATTTCACTCAATATTTGGGGCCTACGGTCCGGCCTAATGTATATATGCTCAGGTGTATGTATTAAGAAAAGCTATATTGCGACCGTCTAAGGCTTAACTTTCAAAAATCTTTCACAAGAATAACAAGGCTCTTTCCCAGATATTTGTAAAAGAAATTTCAAAGATCTTAAATTAAAATAAAGTTGAAAACTAAAGGCTAGAAGGCAATGAAGCCCACCCTTACTAGAAGAATTTTGCTACCACTATATTGTCAAGTCTTAACTTTTGACTTTGTTACTTGATTCCTTTCTCCAGTCAGCTCTGTTGAGTGTCACCTACACTGTGAGGTTAGCAATAATCACATCCCTCTGTTATCTCTATCATGATCATTACGGTCTACTCCTGTCCTAGCTGCTTCAGTAACTATGATTCTATCCTGTTATCCCTATGCGGTAACCTTATTTGTGACTGTTGAATGACCGTGAGAGACTCTTCCTTGTTTAAACCTCCAGTCAAGTTACCTCTAGCTCTTCTTGTTGATTTTTATCATACTGTTAATTGTTGATTTCAAAAGAGCTTGCTACCTTGTTAGTTCTAATATTTCTGTGATTGTCAATAAATTTATTTCTTTCAAAAGCCTCTTTATTGGGAAACACATGTCAAGTTTCAACGTTTTTTTCTTGCAAAATGAGAAGCCCAAATCTGTCCATTTTACATCCAAACAAAATAGTGAAGCAAGAGCCTAGCCCATCGAAGTTAGCAGTTTGGTTGGATCTTGCTTGCAGGTGGATCAAAGTAGTTACTGTAACTTAATTTGAACTTATAGATGAGCTCTTTTAGTTATTTATTTGTATAGGTACACGTGCCTGGATGCATGCTTATGTGTTTAGAGTAGGGTTTCATTTATTATCAAATATTGAAACTAAAAAGTTAGAAGATAGAAAAACAGTGTAGCCCTTGCCTAGGCTCCCGCCTTGGTGCTCTAGGTGCCTGATCTAGCGGCTAGGCCACCTAGCATTTTCTGTAACCTTGGTTTATGCAACTTTTTCCTTAATTTTTATACCATATTCAATATATTTCTGTAAACTTACCTGTCATGTTATTATACTTATATTAAGCATGTTGTTCAGCGTCAACATAATTTTATTGTATATGTACACTTTCACACATCTTTGATGTGTTGCGGGACTAACTTTGGTTTTTAGGGCATTGTTATATAATTAAGGCTTATTTCACTTTGATACCCTAAAGCTTATTACATTGATACCCCAAAGTTTTTCTTCTCTCAATGCTCTGAAACCCCAAAGTTTCATTCCTATCTCACTTTGATACCCTTTGTTCAACAGCCATTTGTTTCTGTTAAATATAACAAAAAGACCAAAATACCCTTCTCTCTAGCTCTCTCAAGCTGTTTCTCTTTCCTTCCAACTAACAAAAATAAACAAGCTCTAACTCTCAAAAGATTCCGGCAAGTCCACATCCAATTGCCTCTCAAGTAATGACCCCTGCTGGAGATCAGAGTTGGGGTTCACAATGCGGTGGTCGGGCCGGAGGTTGGGGATTGG